CAGCATCTTGGCCTTCAAAAGCGTAGCCACAACCACCCCAGCTAATTTTTGGCAACCCTAAGCAGGTGAATTTCTCATTTTCTGTGACTTAAACACCTTAATGGGCAGTTCCCTTCTAAACCAGAGGGTGGCAGCAGTACCACCCTTCAATCTTAGGTCATTTGATATTTTGACAGCTAGTATATCAACCGTAAACTCAGGGGTGGATTAAGGACATTTCAGGCCCTAGGCAGGCGGGGGGCCCTCTGAATTGAGAAGACAACACATAAAACAGACCCATTATATAGATACAGACATTTTAATAGAATAGACATACATTTTTTTTTCTACGTTTGGTTCCTCTCTTCTTGTTTTCTTCTCTATGTTTTGTACTCAGCTGACTTTTCATGCTGTCTCTAAAGGAATGAAAGATTTTTTCCAAGCACTAAGCTCACTTAGCTGATTGCTCCTTCCTGTGTTTCCAAAAAGGCCAAAGTAAATAACCCAGTCCTTCTTTTCACTGTAGACAAGCCATGATCTGCTTATCTGTTCTCCATTTTTCATTTGGATGAAATAATAGCTGCATGAATCATGACAGCAGACAAGATAGAGGAGAGCAGGAGGCGGGGTTACCAATCTACTTGCTCTGGAGAGCAGAGTTCGCTGCTTTTAGATGTTGTCTCCAAAGTCTCCAGTAGCAGAAAAAAGTCGCTAGATTTGGTTGTAAGCGCTTTTTTGAAATGAAAGTGCTAGAGGGGTCTGAAAAGTCACAAAATATAGCGACAAAAGCATTAAATGTGCAACACTCTTTGCATCGTTTGTTTTAAACTGCCCCCACCCCCATCCCCCCTACTAAGCTGACATCAAAAATACAGTAATTCATTGTTAAAACCAACTTGCTAACATTAAACATGTTAGTTTATCGGAAAGAAGGCAACGTTATTTCCCTGAATCACCTAAGAGTCTTTAATTATAGATAAAGAATAACTGCTTAATCAATCAATGTGTATATTATACAGAAACGTTAATGGTTATTTTAGAGAGGAAACATTAAGAAAATAATTGTTTAGATTTTTTAGCAAGGGCTTCATTAAAATGTCTGATTTGTCCAGTGATTGTTTTTGTTTTTTTAATTATGGATGTTTTAATCAGTGTAGTTTGACCCTATTTTTTATATATATATATATATATATATATATATATATATATATATATATATATAATTTAATTCATTAATCCCAAGGGATAAATATATAAGGTTGAGTCTAATTATGCATGGTATGTGTCATATAATTATGTGCAAAAGTTTACCTTCATTTATTTAACTCCTGTTCTATAGATAATTTTAGCAGAAGTTTGAGATCTAGCGCGCCTGTGGTATCTCTATGGTTTCAGGATGGACCTTCGTTTCTCACCACATCACTCCAGTAGTGATGTCAAAGATTGGAAACAGATCCGTTGGTTATGAACTTTCCCCTTAAACCACAGCTTTCCATTAAAACAAACAAATTCCAACGTTCAAGTCACTCCAGCGGCTCTAACCTCTGTGTTTATGTTGGCGATGCAAGAAAAACCCCTAGAAAGAAATTCCTGACGTTCCTAAAACAGAAAACTACTGTATGGTGAGAGATGTGAATTATTTTATTGTTAGTGCTTATGAGCCATCAGTGCCATATTACATTTGCGCTGGAGGGCAGTAATGGTGTGGTATCACCACTCACTATTTGTTTCAACAAAAAAACAAACAGCATTTAACAGCATCTGACAGAAAAATATGGCTGACACCAGAGGCAAACACAACTTTGGAATAAGGTAAGCGCTCTGGCTCACGGCCTAATCGCTTTGCTCAACAGTCTGTGTTAGTGGCACATCTGCTGAGTCATTAGGCAGCTGATACATTATAAATACAATAAACTGGATTCATATACCTTAAATATAAAGATTCACACTCCATGAACATAATCACACCTTTTTTACCCTGTGTAGTGACATGTGTTGGTGACACTCGCCCAAAGTGCTCAGAAAAACATTGCTTTGCCGTTACCGGCGGTAAGAAGCCTTACACTCATGAGTGGAACCATAGGGAATGACAGTGATATACAGCGCACCATTAATTGCCATATGAATGGGGTCTGCATTTGTTGGCGCGCCGCTGATGCATCACAGTAAAAGAGATGGGTCACTCTGTCTTCTCCAGCCCGCAGCATTGCCAAGCTCATAATTACTAAAACCCCCAATTAATCTTCCCATCACAAAGGCCAAATATAGGCTTCCTGCTTGTATAAATGAGTTACAGCATATACTCTTAGCTAATGTGCAAACTCATGCGTGTATTTAGTGCCTTGGTTCATAAAGACATCAAGTATAAACAGAATGAATTTTCCTGAGGGGTTAAAACGATGTACCACCCTGGTTATCATATGTTTAGCATCAGCTGGGTTAACTAGTGTTACATGGGCAGTTGCTGCCTTGAGGCATCCGTTTTTTTTACAAGGTAAATGTTTATCTCCAATAGATCCTGTTAACTGCTTCATAAAGTCAAGTTGCAGAGATGATCAAATTCCAGGAAGGGGAAACCTAGAGCTTCGTCTCATCTCGAACACTCTCCAGCTCATCCGTCCCTTCCCAGGACGAGACTCCTAAACCTTCAAAAAGCTTCCTCAGCTTTCTCTTTTGGATAAGCAGTGGCTACACTCTGAATGTCAGGTGATAGCTAGGGTTGCCAACCCTCCCTAGCTATTACGTATTTAGTAATAGAAGTACCTGTCCCGTATTTAGGGGAAAAGGAACGCACTTTGTCCAGTCTTACTGTGAGAGTAAAAAATACTCTGTAAAAAGCTAATGGAATATGAAGAACAAGGGGACGTTAGATACAAAACTTACAGTAAGCTTGGTTCCGGGGCCTGTCCTGCTTTGTGACCAACGAGCCGACAACATATATGTAACGATCCAGAATACTGATTACTACTTTTCGCTCCCCGTTGGTCATGAACTCCGCCTCCCCGTGTAGTGCCTGCACCATCTTTATTATCAGTCGCCGGTGTAGGTACCAGATCTGCTCGGGTGGTCCGACATTACGCTACATGACTGGCCAAACGTCCCCACATGATCTAAAACGTTGTGGTTGCCCAGACAACAATAACATCACGCAGCGTCAGTTTGCAGAGTCAGGAGCATCTGTAGCATTAGTTACTTTAAATTCGTGTCAACAACCTTTTGTTTTCTTAAAGTAGAATAACCGTTTAATTTGCCTAAAATCTCTATGAAAGACATTTAAGATGTCCCATTTGTGCCCCCCTGCCCTCAGATCTTACTTAATCTTAGAACACAGTATTTTACTTCAAGACTGACAGTGATTGTTTTCTACTTTCGGCTAATTTAGATCACCGATGAAATGTAAAATAGCTAATTGACCCTTAAGAAATAGGTGCAATACACTTTGTCCGAGTGGACTTGCCATATGTTGACGTCATAAGTGTCAGGGCGTCGAGCAGATCAGGTACCTACACCGGTATGACAAATCCCATGATGCTTTGCAAGGACAGCTCTTGCAAAGCAATCTGAGATACATCTGCTCATCTAGTGACCATCGAGGATCCCTACTTTTCAAGTTGCATTGTGGGAAATTTTTAGTCCACTACTATTTCAATCACTAGACATTCAGACACTCACCTAAAATGGCGTAACCACTATATAGTGCTCTGTATACTGATTGGGACAGATGTTCGGGCGCAGCCTCTGATGTTAACACTTGAAGTTTCAGCTTCAGAGAATATTCCTATTTATGTTTCCATGTCAGAACTTGCAGCAAAGGGCCAGATGTCTCAGTGGTGATCTGTGGTTTATTCATACACAGCTTAAATAAGGTAATGTCAGCAATAAAAGCAGTATGGTTATAGAAAGGAATGTATGTATATATGACAGATCTATTAAGAAACAAACTAGAATGAACCATTATCTTTTAACTAAGGCTACTTGTGTGTTTAAACACACAGGTAAGACTTCAAGGACAGAATTTGATTAGAATCAATTATTTTTTTCCATTAAAACACCCTGTAGAGATAAATACATTGTCCTTATTTTTGTGACAAACTCAACGAATACATTAAAGGTATAATAGAGGATGTTCTTTTTCTGGGTGGTTCATCAAAATAAGTGGTCCTCCTAAATGTCAGTCATTCTGGTAATATGTTTACGTAAGGCCGCACTACATGCTTATCCACATTTTCACTAACCCGTGGTGAGTCTGACATGGTGTAAAAATTGGAAATCTTCTTTTGGAAAGTAAGCTTGTATGAGCAATGTAAACAGCAGCTTTTAAACAGCGTGCACGAGGAGAAATAGGCTTGTGCACGCTCTTGCATATGTTTAATGGCCGTTCCCTCTCGGGAGCGGGTACTGGGTTGTGCGTGTGCATTGCTTTTAAAGTGGAGAGGGAGGATTTTTTTTTCTTTGCAAAAGTCCTCCAGTATACCTTTAAGTCGGACCACTTTGTAAAAATACCCTGAATTCATGTTAGGTACTCGGAAAAGTTGGAACTACATAAGGTGTAGTTCGTACAAACATACTCCTGGTTCAGGAATCCCAACTTCTTGTACTCTTGTATTTCTTTTTCAACACTTTAAGGACAAGAGTGCATTTCATATTCCTATGTTGTTTCATTCCTCACTGTTGGGACAGGTGGGAAAGTCTGCAGAACATATAGTTGACTTTGAGTTTCTTTGACTGACATATTTGACTGCTAGGATCATACAACTGTTAAGACCTTAATGCACTTCACCTAAACTTCTTGTACAAAGTGAATAAAAGTAACATTGAAAAAAAAACAATGTTCACATGTGATTTCAACATTCCAGCTGAGAGCCTTTGGGTGTATATACCAAAAAAAAAAGATAAGTTTTTCCCATTCATTTTTCTGGAAAGTTAGTTTAAAGTAGGTTGAAAGTTGACTGTATCTTTTTTAATGTGTGTATAAAACAAAATCTATGTATCAACATTTTATTTAAACTTGTTTCATGTATTTCATTTTACAACAACATTCAGAAGGGAAAAAGAATTTTAATGCAACATTAACAATCCGGCTAAGGTTCCTTTGGAGGCTGGTAGCGTTTTCTTTTTCTGTCATGAGATATGTTCAAATTTAGCGTTTCTTTGTTAAGAATTAAAACAACTTAAGCGCCATGGTGGATGTCTGCATCTATTATTTACAGATAAAGTGTGATTCTGAAGGCTGCACAACAGCCTGCTTTGTAAAAGCAGAGTTAGAAATGAAATACAGACTTTTCTTTGACAATCCTCCTGTGAGAGTGTTTGTGTTCTCCATTAATATGTATTTTTTGTCTGCAGCATGCCGTTCTGGCTCCTGGCCATTCAACCTTTACTCATTGTGAGCAAAATCTCTTTTCCACACTCCAATCTGGCCACCTGCCCTCCTGCAGCCTCATTGACAGCACCTTACTGGCACCCAGTGGCCACACGCGGTCCTGCATGAGTTGGATTCTCGGCTGCCAGCTGGGGGGTTGGAGGAGAAGGAGAACTGTTTACAAGTGGCATTTGGCCCTAATTAAAAGCAGCACTTGTTGGAGCACTAGGTCTGCAGAGGGGCTTGCATCCACGGTGATGCAGGCTGGGCCGACGATCCTCCGATAAGCTTCCTCAACTCTGCACATAAGAACAAACACATCGACCAACAAGTGAGCAATATGAGAACATGACAGGAAAACCAGAGGCTGATTCATGCTTTAACTTTTTATAATAAATCCAGTTCAAGCAAAATAAACAACACAGATGGCTTAGAGTGTTGCTTTTGTCTTTTTTCCTATAAAACTCCTGCCTATGTTGGCGATTGGCAGTCTGCTGAATCTCTCTGTCTTCCTAACTCCTTCTGTTTTCTAATTCTGCTGGCCCAACATCTGGGCGTCCCATGTGGACAGGCCATTACGTCAGTGGAGAAGATGAATGAAAGTAGCTATCGACCTGTCTGAGTAGCGACTAACCGGGCTGTGAGTTTTGACCAGCGTAGTGGAGCACAGCAGTGCAGCAACTAATCACCTGCTTTTTCTCATCAGGCACTTTTCTCACGGGACGGTAATTGATTGTTAAGTGTTTGATGGATAAGACTGAGACTGAACTGGTCAAACTGTGAAAGTGCTGTGCAGTTTGCACCCATCTGTGACTCCACAGTCACACACAGCCTGTAACCAAAAGCAGTAAACATTTGTTCTCCTGTGACATCAGGCTGATGGGTTTCTGTTCTCTCACTTTTTTTGGCATTTTTAAACTTTGGGCACATCACAGTTTTCTACAGCAAAAATGGAAAAAGGAAAGTATTTCATCTCTGTCATACATGACACAATGAAATAAATATAACATTTTTGATTTCAAAAAGAGTGATTTTAGTAAACAAATATGTCTTTGCAGTGTTTTTTGTAGGTGCAAGTTAAGCTAATTAAAGAACCATTTGAATCACTCTATTTGCAATAAGTATCTAGCAAATATAAGATTTAAATTTACATTAGAGCATCTGCATTAGTTGCAAAAATATTCCCAGCTGGGCATACACTGTGTGATATTTTCAATCGTTGCAAGTAGTTACGGCCTAAACTGTACGATGAAACTGCAGGGTTTAAATGTTCAGAGCTCACAGTGCATGTTCTCACACTGTGCAACCCGACACTCTGATGCAACCTGCCTGCTCGCATTACATGACCAAAAACCACACGTCGGACTCGGCGCAGAGAGATGGCGCTGGTCAGACTCGTCAATCTGGAAGAACGCCCTTGTTTGCGCAGTGCTCAAGGTTCTGGTAAATCGGCTTGTAGCTCTGCTCCAGCAGTACCTCACGACGGCCAACTGAATTTCAAACATTTATCCCGACATTATGATTCCTGATCGGGAGGTGGTCGTGAGAGGCTAATCGGCCCTTGTTACCCCCTGTACACTATGCGACGCATCGGGCTGAAAGTCGGCCCGATCGAAAAATTGACTGTACGAACCAGACAGTGTATGCCCGGCTTTAAAGGGGCATAGTGACATTATATGAGTTTTTTTAATTTATACGTCAGAAAATAACTGGTTAAAAACGTTTTATTCTGTAAAATTATTTTCTTAGTAAATTAAGCCATTCTGTATATACTTACAACAAATTTGAGAGCGCCACTGAAGGTAGGGGGACAGTGGCGTTGGATGTAGGAGTTTGCCCTGAAAGCGAAGGATTGACGGTTTAAGCCCCGGTTCCAACTTTCAGTGTCGTTGTTTCCTTGGGCAAGACACTTCACCTGCATTGTCTACTGATGGTGGTCAGAGGGCCCGGTGGCGCCAGTGTACGGCAGCCCCGGCACACGTTGTGTGCGTGAATGGGTGAATGACTGAATGTAGTGTAAAGTGCTTTGGTAAAGTCTTCTGACTTGAAAAAGCGCTATATAAGTACAGGCCATTTACCATAGCACCTGATGCTGGAAATCTATTTAGACTCAAAAAGGCCTATTTTAACACTATCAGGAAAGACACTTGGTGTATAAAACCGTAATTTATCAGGATCAGGTGATTTCGATGTTTTTTGTAGGGGTGTAAAATGTGACCATGTCCCTTTAAAGGTCATAGCTACAACTTTAAATCACAATTATTAATTAAAAAAGATCAAGCGTCTGTCCTTAGAATGGTGAAAATTTAAATATAAATGTTACTCAAAATGTAAATTTTGACAGGTCTAAAATATATTAATATCTGTTTACAGCGCCAACATGGGATTCTGCCCAATAGGAGCAGTAAGTTGAAGTCACATGATAAATGGATTTTGAGTTTCAAACATTTACCTTTGCTGTTCCTTCTAAGGTTAATACTTAACAAGGGCCAGCACAAGAGCACCACTAACTGGCCGGGAGGAGTTAAAATTAGGGCTGGGCTATTAATTGCATTTGCAATGTAATTGCAATTTAATAAAAAGCTATTTTAAAATTGCCGGGGCACTTCATTTTTAATCTACATTTAACAAGAATAAGACACAAAATTTCTCAACACAGCCCTTCAGGTGGTTAAACGCTTGAAGTGGGTTTATTCGCCTCACAAAAAGGTAGAGAGTAGCAGCTAGCAAGTAGAAGGTTAACACTTTTTCACACAGTGGTTACAGCAAAGTCCTGTAACAATGGACTCTGGATGAGCACGCTGTTAAGGGAATAGTACACCCAAAACATGATTAGCCTTCATTTTCTACTCACCCCCATGCTGAACAACACTCTGGAGTACTTTTTTGATATCTCAAATGCATCTGGAGATCTGGGAGGCTTCTTGCTGTCTGCTGACATTCAAATAATGGAGGTCTATGGCGCCCGAGGCAGAAGGGTCCATAAAAGTCCACAAAAAACGTGTCAATATTCCTCCATACTGCTCGTCCAATGTATTCCAAGTGTCCTGAGAGGGTAGCGTCCAGAATTTACTCGAAACGAAGTCATTTAGAATGTTTTTAGAGCATAAACAGTAGTGTATAGGATTTCCTAAAAGCGCGCGCCTGCGAGTTCACGAGTCTACAGAAACCGCGGCAGACCAAACCAGATGAAAGTGCGCATTCAGCTCGGCAAAGAACTCATGCTCTTCCTCAACACTGAAGTCCTCAGACATTTTTCTTTCGTTGTTTCTTTCTTTGCACAGGTAAACAGCACATTTCTTCTTCTACGCTTGCATTATCGGCAGAGCAGACGCTGAATGCGCACTTTCCTCCGGTTTGGTCTGCCGCGGTTTCTGTAGACTCGTGAACGCACTTTTAGGAAATCCTATACACTACTGTTTATGCTCTAAAAACATTCTAAATGACTTCGTTTCGAGTAAATTATGGACGCTACCCACTCAGGACACTTGGAATACATTGGACGAGCAGTATGGAGGAATATTGACACGTTTTTTGTGGACTTTTATGGACCTTTCTGACTCGGGCACCATAGACCTCCATTATTTAAATGTCAGCAGACAGCAAGAAGCCTCCCAGATCTCCAGATGCATTTGAGATATCAAAAAAGTACTCCAGAGTGTTGTTCAGCATTGGGGTGAGTAGAAAATGAAGGCTAATCATGTTTTGGGTGTAATATTCCTTTAAAAACCAAAAGCTTTAGGTGAAACATCTACAAGCTTTGGGTTAGTTCAAAGGAAAAATCTAAATAAAATTGCAATTGCAATTTTGGTGAAAAATGATGACAATTTAGATTTTTGGCATAATGGTTCAGCCATTTTTAAAATGATGTTTTCACCTTTAAGTCTTCTTATATTTTCTTATACTATGACAACACACTTTATGCGATGAAGAAACACAAACACATAACTGAGAAGTGAGCAGAAAATTCTAATTAAGTCATTACAATTCAAATCTACCATAAATGCATCCTGTTTTACTCTAACACCCCAAATAAAATCCATTGCAGCCATTACTAATTAGTCAGTAGAGCAATAGCTGCTGTAAGAGTTCCTTTTTTTTTAAAAAACACATTTTTGGGTCACAGCTGTAGTTTTCATGTTGGTTAGAACTTTTTAAAAGTATCCTGGATTTATGTTGGTTAAAGTCATGGAAACCAAAAACTGTGCAAAGACAAACTAAAGGTTTAAACATGATGGTGAATATTTTCAGTCATCCAGGTCACACTCATTCCAAACTTTGAAAATTTGTATCCGTGCATGATTTCACTTTTTGTTTGCCTCAGACTTTTTTAGAAAGCAACAACCATTTCTGCTGAACATCACACTTAAGCTGTACTTAGTTTTAAATTATGTCCCAAAATCCTGAGTATTTATACCAAATTGTGTGCATGTTGTGTCTAAAAATAATTAATCATTTTCAAAAGCATTGGAGTAGATTAATGCAAAAAAGTTCACCAAGAGTTTTTTTTCTATCAAATATGTGATTCAAAGATTTACTGGAATAAAAACAATGAGTTAGAGCGTCTCTCAGATGTAGAATACTAAGAACCTGAGTCTGAAGAGTCGGTTGTGATCCAGCTCCTGCTCCTCATCAGTCTTCACCAAACCTCTGTTCCTCAGCCTCCTCTTCCTCTCCTCAGGGTCCAGGGTGAGTAAAACCACCAGGCTGGGCTGGAGGAGGTCACCGGGCCAACAGTACACCTCAGAGCCCTCAGGCGGGAGGTTACTAACCGGGCCGGTTACTGCAGTGGCGATGGCGTAAGCTGCTGTGCTGTGCCAGAATCTGGACAAACATAAAGAAATAAAATAAAACAGCCGAATGAAGCTGGATAAGAACTTCCTGTATCATTTGACAACAAGGCTGAATTTGGCAGAGCTCCTGAGGAGGCTGAGGTCCCAGCAGGCCCCTCCTTAAAAATTTGTATGACTCTGTGGTAGCCTCAACCCTCCTCTACGCTGTCATCTGCTGGGCCCCTGGCAGCTCAGAGGGACAGAAAGAGACTGAACAAGCTGGTGAGGAAGGCCACTTCTGTCCTGGGCTGCCCTCTGGACTCAGTGGAGGAAGTGGCTAAGAGGAGGATGCTGTCCAAACTCACATCCATCATGGACAACACCTCTCACCCTCTGCACCAGACTGTAGAGGAGCTGAGCAGCTCCTTTAGTCAGAGACTTAGACACCCTGTCTGTAAGAAGGAGCGCTACCGCCAGGTCATTCATTCCTGCTGCCACCAGACTCTATAATAATGCACTATAACCACAATAACTCCTGTAAAAACCACTGTGCAGCTATATATATATATTTTTTTTTTTATTGACCGTGCAATATCCTGTGCAATATGCTGAATGTGCAATATTTCTCCATCTGTATATAAGCCAACCAGATTGTACATATTTTTATTATTTTTTATTTTGTTTTTCATTGTGTGCGATACATGTACACTTGCACCTTAATCCTATTTATCTTGATATACTGTATATACCTGGATATACTGTATATATATTGCTTATTCTTAATGCACCTTTTTCCTCCCTGTTTGCACCTTCTGTAACTTCTATGCCAATATGTGACGAGTGAACTTCTCCGCTGTGAGATCAATAAAGCTCATCTAATCTAATCTAATCTAGTCTTATAGATGAGGATTTCAGTGGGATCCACAACTTCTGGTGTTAAAGCTCTTCACCTATAACATCTGAGGGGAGTGTTGGCCCAGTGGTTAGAGCAGTGTACTTGTACTCTGAGGAGTTTGCAAGTACTTAACCCCACACTGCTCCCTGTGCATCGCACAATGGCAGCCCACTGCTTCCGAAAGGGAAGGGTTAAAGGCAGAGACTGAATTTTGTTGCTTTGTACTTGACAATGTAATGACAATAAAATCTATTCTTCTTCTTCTGTGCTGTATTGTATAAAGGCGCTAGATTCTCAGTCATCCAGGTCAAAGTAAATCCAAAAAAGTAAAAAAAACAATCTACTAGACTGGTTTCCAAGTTTGAAGACATTTCTCTTCCCATCCAGGAGCTTTTTCAATTCAAAATGTCAGAAATGGCGTTGAGATGGAGGCTTTTCATAGACAGGTATGGGGTATTGTAAGCGAAAAAAGAAGCCTAACGGTCCCAATTCCAAAGGAGAGGACCCTTCCTTCCGTTTCAAGTTGCATGTTCTCTAAACAAAGTCCAGTGGATTGTTTTTTTTTTTTTTACTTTTTTAAAAATGTTATAAAGTCAGAATCCTGGCAAAACAGCAAACGGCAGATTTCAAGTACTCAGGCCTTTTCAGACAGTACTGTTTCCTTTTCCTGGTAATGGCTGTCGCTACTCAATCTGTACAACAATGCCAACCACCAGTTTATTTGCAGGTGTGCGACCAACACTTCATCCGGGCTGCAACAGATTGCATTTTATGAAAATAGGTCAACATCACTTATTTCTGTCACCAATTATAAAAAGAAACTACATTGTGTAAAAAGTTAATAACAGTTTTGGTGAGAGATTAAATGCGTTTACATCTTTCTGTTATATCAGTAGCAGAACTGTCTTGGAAATGTAATTCCTGCCCTACAAAAGGATGTTGATTTTTCAGCTTTAACCTTTTTTTATGTTTGAATTTCTTTGAATAGTACACAGTGTATAATTTAAACAGGAACACAGCTAAAATACAGATAAATATGGTGCACTATGTTTTCACCAGACAATGAGCATGTCCTATGACAACGTCAGACAAGCAATATAATGTAAAAGATGTAAATGCATCTCTTCTTTCAGTGAAGTCATTATTATTATTACTTTACACGAAGTAGTTTAGCATGCTTTAATGATTTAAGGAAGTAGCATAATGAAATTATTTAATGGCAACCTTAATTAATATCTGGTTGCAAAAAAAAACTAAGGGTAGAGATCATGCTTCAGGTATGGATCAGGTAGCGACAGTGGCTAGTATGTTAGCAAAGCATCTTCAGGTTAATAGATGCTCTCTTCAATAGTAGAATTCTGACTCAATATGCATCTGCCGTGTTATTAACTGAGAATTTGCAAACAATTTTGTAAACAATAAAAGACATTAAATAAAAAAATTATTTAGAGTAAATGGAAATGAATTAGAAATGTAAATTTCACTGTGAGTGAGAGTCCATTTAAGCCTCGCTTTCATCAATGTACAGCAAACAGCGAGGCTAATGTTAGCTTAGCTCATACAAAGTTCCAAATCGAACATCGGTTATTTTAGTGCATATTAATACTGCTTCCTATTAAACTGTTAGTTATTACACTCTTTTTTAGGGGTGTCTAGTGGATGAAAAAGTAGTGCAAAAAAACTTCCCATAATGCACCTTGAAAAATAGTGTGTCGATGGTCACTAGACAGGCATATATATATCTATATATATATCTATATATATATATATATATATATAGATAGATATATATATGTATATATATATATATTAGTGCTGTCAATCGATTAAATTTTTTTAATCGCGATTAATCGCATCAATGCCTGAGTTAACTCGCGATTAAT